GTATGATGAATTCTCTCTAGAAAATTGTATGTTCAATATCCCTTTCGTAGAATATGCTGTGCCTTTATTTATAGGTTGGACAGTTTAGGTAAGATGGGCCAAGTAAAAGTCTCGAAAATCGAAATTAGGTCTGGCCGAAAAAATACATCGCTTGAGCGAGAAGGATGTTTCGCTCGAGCTAAGGGTTTGTCGCTCGAGCGACAGTGGGGCGAAGGTCGAGCTAGGATGTTCCTGCTCCATCCGCTCGAGCATGACTTCGGCAAGCAGCTAGCGAAAAATCGGCGTGAATCCTTCTTATTCCAAACATGAAACCCCAAACCCTAAGCTAACGTACCAACTATGTAACTTTATAATTTAATTCCTAAACTTTTATAATCGTTCAAGTTGGTCCTTTTGTTCAAAGAATCGCCAATACAATATATAAACCTAACAATTGACATTGAGATAACTATTTTAATTTTACTCATTTTCATAACACGAACTGTTGCAGTCCATCATAAGCCATTTCTATCAAGAGAATATTATAAAACTGTCAAAAAGGTTTGGTGAAGGGTTGTATATTTGTTACTACATCAGTGGTTTATGATGTCACCGTGATAATCAAACAATTTAGGAGTGTCGCTTTAATTTCCTCTTAAGAAAAATGTTACGTGAACAGTCCATTGATTAATTTTCAATAAGACAAGAACACAACTCTGATTTGCAATTGCTAATTAAATAAAAGCTATATATCAACTATAAATCGATACCTGTTTATATCTTACCATAACACGTAGAACTTTTTTTTTTGTACCAAAAAATAAAAATAAAATCACAACCTTCACTTTTGAGTTTAGTATTTATACAGTCTTCAAACGAGAGAGTCGAAATCATGTCTAGGGACTGAGGTGGGTCGTGATTATAATCTTACTTTGATTATGATAAAGTTTCATCTTAATCTATTAACTTGACCGTGGAATAGTAAATATTGCATGATTCCTAAAATCTAATTGTCGATGTTTGCTTAAAACCAATTTAAGAGCCTAATACTATACAATCAAGCTTGCACGTAAGTCCTGGTTTGAAAACTTAGGGACTGTATTCTTTGTGTTTCAGTTTTTTGTTTCGAGTTTTGAATTCATTTTAGATTTTGTATTTTGAGTGTCCATTTTGAGATTGTTGAAAATATGTTCTTTTTGACATTTTGAATTTTTTTTTT